ACTGTGCTTGAGTGAGAACTTTGCTCTCATTTCTCTCCTGTGTCTGGGGTTCTCTCCTGAGCAGTTCAAGAGGCCGACTCACTTGCCAGTGTGCAGCTGGGAGCCCCACGCCCAACAGCACCAGCCTCAGCCAAGAAAACCAAGGCAGCAGCCACAGCAGGGGGCCAAGGTGGCACCTCTAGGAAGGAGAAGAAGGGAAAGCACAAAGGTCAGCTTGCCTTCTTTACAGCATTCTCCAGGCCTGGCCTCCACTGGAGGGTTGTGGGAGGCTTGTCCTCATGACCTGGAGGTGAGGGATGGGTGAGCAGCCTTGGTGAAGACACAGCTTGGTGCCCAGGGCCCCTGCTCAGCTGGCTTGCAGGCCTTGTCTGGTGCATAGGGTGCCTGGGCTTGCCTGTGGATGTGGGCAGGCCCAGAAGTAAAGTCCAGCTCAACTGTGGCCCAGGACCACCTTCCCCCATTCTACTTTGGCCTGAGCACCCTCTATCCTGACCCCTTGAAGACCTCACCCAGCCTGGGCTAGGGTACTTACTCCCTTGGAGGGCTCATTGCCTCCAAGACGTCCTACCCCATCCTTGTGCAGCACCCACTGTCAGCTCTTCCTTATAACATGGGCTTCCCTGGACTCCCTACTCTAGGCCAGATTCCATCCTCTGGGCTGCTCCTTTCCTTGCAGAAAAGATTTCTAGAAATCGACAGTGATGGTGGCCCCTTTCCTGAGTGCTGTTTCCTGGCTAGATAGCCCATTTCCTCAACCTCTGTTCATGGGCAGCAATTTCCAGGCCACTGCGACATGGTTGGACAGTGGTATGTCAGGGCCTGTGGGCTTCTCAGCTGGTTGCAGCACTCAGCAGGACTCCACAGGCAGGCAGGTGGCTGCCACCTGTGTGGGCCAGACTTCTGCCACTGAAGCTATGTGGCAACTTGGGCAGGAAGGTTGGTGGGGGATGGGCAGTCTTCTACTTGGGAAGGCGAGTGTACCCCAGCTGCATCCTTTTCAGGAACCCCGTGTGTTTTTAATGATGTGGGAATGACTGCATGTGTGTGTGTATGTGTGTATTTGTGAGAGAGAGAGTGAGAGAACACCAGCATTGATCACTTGTAACTGGCCATGTCTGTGAATGATTATTGGCCTTAGCCATGGTCTGGACCAATCCTTTTCTTCATCTTGTTTTTTCCACTGTGCAGTTGGCTGCACTGTGTAGATGGCTGCCCTCAGGATATGGGGTATTTCAAACCAACCTATGGCAATTAATTTCATTTGTGAAAGAAAAGAAGAAACAAAACCCACATCCCTGAGTAACCTACCAGTGGTTAACAGGCTAACAGCAGTCATTAGTTTTTCAAAAATGAGTTTTGCTAATAAAGTGTTGCAGAGGGTCTTCCCACTCATCCCTCACCCCCTTCCTGGATGTCTGAGAACCCAGGTTCCCTCTCCTCCTCCTGGATGTAACTCAGGAGTGTCCGTGGCCTGCAGGCACCAGCGAGCCAGCAGCACTGGCAGAAGACAAGTCTGAGGCCAAAGGCCCAGTGCAGATCCTGACTGTGGGCCAGTCAGACCACGACCAGGACGCTGGGGAGACGGCAGCTGGTGGGGGCGCACAGCCCAGCGGGCAGGATCTCCGTGCCACGATGCAGAGGAAGGGTGAGCCCCATGGGGGGCCCAGTGACCCCCCCTCAAGCTCAGTCCCATGTTCTCAGTCCCATGTTCCCACTTTCCTCCAGAGCATGGCCTTCTTGTGTCCTAGCCCCTCCCTGGTCATACAGGGTTGGGGGCATACTTGGAGACAAATGGGAAACTATTGGGCAGGGGCCCCTGATAAGGCCAAGTTAAGGGAAAGAAGGATTGTGAATTGGGATAACCGACTCACAGCCCAGCTCTGTCTTCTCCTATTTCCATCTTCTGCTTTCAGGGAGGCCCAGGCTTTGCGGCAGATTTCCTTTCTCTCTTGCTTAGAAAAAGCTCATTTTGCAAAAAGGTCCCCATGTATCTGCTGAGCTAAGGGGAGCAGGGCCAGGAAGCCAAGAGGCAGGGCAGATCCTCCCTGGAAACCTGCCCCATTTCCCCACCATGAACCTCCCTAGGGAGCCCCTGGTGGGGGTGGGGAGGGGATGCGCAGCAGAGGGAAGCCTGGTAACACCATACACACTGCCAGGAATCTAATCACGGATGGCTTCCTGGAAGAAGGGCTTTGGATAACTCAGGGATGGGAATGGCATTCCAGGCGGGAGAGGACAGCTGAGACAGAAGCTCAGGACAGGCCCGGGGGAAAGATGGAGTCAGTGGGCCTTGCACATCAGGCTGAGTAGGAGCTGAGGCCTGTTCCCTGGCACCTTGGCGGATTCCATGGCCTGTGCCGGTCAAGGCCTCTAGTAGGCCTGAGGTCAGAAATGGAGGTACCCAGTGCAGGGTCAGCTCAGGGAAGCCCTCAGTACACAAATGACAGTAGCAGTGTGGCTGTTAGGAGGTGGGGCGATGCAGGGACTGAGCTGAAACCGGGTGGTGGGGCCATATCCCCAAGACTGTGACCAGCTCATGTGTGCACCTGAGAATGTGTGTCCTCGTGCATCTTGATGTGTGGAAGCATGCGTGTGTGTGTGTGTGTACATATGGCTGTGTGAGTGGGTACATACGTTTGTGGATACAGGCGAGTCTGTGTCTGAACGTATGCCTGCATGTGACCGTGTCTGTTTTGAGGGGTAGATTTGTCCTCACTCATCCTTTCCTGTTCTTTGCTTGGCCCAGGCATCTCTGGCAGCATGAGCTTTGAAGAGGAAGAGGAGGATGAGGATGAGAACAGCTCCAGCTCCTCCCAGCTAAATAGCAACACCCGCCCCAGCTCTGCGACCAGCAGGAAGTCCACCCGGGTGAGTGAGGGGCTTTCATCCACAGCAGTGTTGGAAGGACAGCTCATCCAAGGTGGAGCTGGGGCGTGTGTCGTGATGACAGGAGCTCCTTTTCCAGGGCTGGGGCTGGAAGGTGCTTTTCAAGACCTTCTCTGGCTGGTCTGTTCTGCCCTTCCACCCTGCCTCCTAATCTCTTTGACCAGGTGGGGCAGTGGCATGTAGGGGGAGCTGGAATGAGATAGGATGACCTCTCAGGACCTGCCCATATCTCCAGTTCCACATCTCCACCTCCAGGGACTGTTGAGAAGAGGGGAGGGCCAGGAAGATAGCTTCTGACCCCCGGCAGGCCCACAGCCTAGGTCCTTCCCTCTCTCCCACCATCACTGTATCAGGAGGCAGTTTTGGCTCTCAGGGTGCCTAGAGCTCAGGCTCCTCTCTCCCTGTAGGAGGCAGCCTCAGCCCCTAGCCCAACAGCCCCAGAGCAACCAGTGGATGTTGAGGTCCAGGATCTTGAGGAGTTTGCACTGAGGCCAGCCCCCCAGGGTATCACCATCAAATGCCGCATCACACGGGACAAGAAGGGGATGGACCGGGGCATGTACCCCACCTACTTCCTGCACCTGGACCGCGAGGATGGGAAGAAGGTGAGGCTAATCTGGGCATGCATTCTCATCTAGGCAGGCTTGAGGTCCCAGGGTGGGAATGCGGCTGGCAGCTTCAGATCCAACACTGACTTCTCAGTTCGCTCAAGAAACAGCCTGCATGCCTGGTCAGGGCATTCCTTTGTGTTTGCCAGGGCATTCATGTGCATGCACATAGGTGTTTGGGAGCTGATGTGAGGGTGAGTCACTCCTTTGAGTGTGGGTATGTGCGTGGCACCCATGACTGTTTGCTGACCAGTGGAACATGACCTTGTTCCATTCCCAAGGTGTTCCTCCTGGCGGGAAGGAAGAGAAAGAAGAGTAAAACTTCCAATTACCTCATCTCCGTGGACCCAACAGACTTGTCTCGAGGAGGGGACAGCTACATTGGAAAACTGCGGTACCAGCATGCCCTCAGGAAACAGGCGGGAGCGAAAGTGGGGGGCGGACAAGCACAGGCTCTCTGGAGACGGCATCTCCTACCCCTGAAGGAGATCTAGACCAGGGATGGATTCTCTATTCATCAGCTCTAGCTGCAGGCCCATGTTTGTGCCCAGCCTAAAGCCAGTCTTGGAGATGGGCCCCGCACACCTTACCTTAAGCTGCTCCCAGGCAGGTGGGTGCAGGTCTGTTAAGAGTGCTGGATCATGCACCAGGTATCAATGGTGCAGGTCACCATGGAAGAGTTGCCTTGGCCCCATGGGCAGTGCAAGGGGCAGGGCTGAGAGGGAGCCCTTGAGGGAAGAGTCATTGCAGTCTTGGGGTAGGAGTAAGTGAGAAGGATCTGAGCTGGGCCTCAAGGGGTATGTAGGGTTTTCTGAGGAACAGACTACCAGATTAGAGGAGCATAAATAAAGAGAGGTTAGGAGCCAAAACTGGAGATGGGGCTAGACCAAGACTTAGGCTGGATGGGATGGGGAGATCTCATCTACTCTCCCTGGGGTGCTGAGTCTTCTCTACAGCCTTACCAGATGCCATTGGGCTTTTTCACCTTCCATGAAGGAACTCCCATGTTCCCCCAGAGAAACCTGTGGAGTCCTGATTTTCACCTCCCTGAATTGCTATCACTGAACTGAGATGCCCTGAATCAACTCAGAGCAAGTCCAGGCCTTCTGCCATGATGTGCCTTGGAGGATATGAATTCAGTGTGCCCTGGGGTCTGCTCTGGTCCAGCACAGATGCTTTGCCAGGGTTCTCACAGGACAGACTATGAGCTGTTGCCTGCTCTGGGGCAGAGGGTGCAAGACCCAATACCAACTGTGTCTTTCCTTCAGGTCCAACCTGATGGGCACCAAGTTTACCATTTATGACAATGGAGTCAACCCGCAGAAGTCATCATCCTCTACTCTGGAAAGTGGAACCTTGCGTCAGGAGCTGGCAGCTGTGTGTTACGTGAGTCCTGGGTTCCTGGGTCTCTGGTCTCCAAGGCAGATATAAAACCCAGGACTTGAAGTCTGATCTAGGGGTCTTAGTGGGTAGACAAGGCTGTGCGGAGGGGTGCTGCCCTCTGTGGAGTGATTCTTGCCCGGAACAGGGTCCCTGGTCCTTTCCTGTCTTCAGAGCCCAGACCACAGCTGGCCATCTGCCTGATGAGCTCTGGGAACCAGGCCTGGCTCTCTGCAGTCCAGCCTGGGAGTCTCCTGGACAGGAGGAGGCAGGAGGCCTGGGTTCTTGTCTGTGCATCTCCCAAGTCATCCCTCTGGCTTACCAGATGCTACCTGCATTACAGGGCCCTTTGCATAATCCTTTCACTGTATATTCAACCTAAGAGATAGATCCTATTTTCTTTAGATGAGAAAGTGAAGCTCAGAGGTTGAGTCACTTACAAATGTTACACAGCTCATAAATGACCAAACTGGAATGTAAACACAGGGCACTTCTCTTTGAACCTCAGTTTCTTCACTTTTAAAATGAGGGATGGGTGCTCCATCAGCCTGGACATAGGCACTTCTTGGAGGCTACTGGGAATCCACAGCTATTTTGTATGATCCCGTGGTGCCACCTGCTGGCCAATTTTGGGGAGGCAGCCTGAGTCTTTTTCAAGTACTTTACTGAGCCCCAACTATGTTCCAGGTACTGTTTCAGGTACTAAGGATATAGAGGTGACCAGACATAAATGTATGACTTTATAAGACCTAAAGCCCTAGTACGGGAGACAAGCTGTAAAACAGACATATGGATGAAACAGATATGTTCTTTACAAATGCTAAGAAAATAGAGAGGGGGATATGAAACGTCAGTGTTTTAGAAATGGTTTTAGGAAGGATGGCAGGGAGGGCCTTACTGAGGTAGGTCTTAAGACAAGAAGGCAGTAAAAGCCAGCCGTATACATGTCTGGGGGACACAGCAAGGGCAGAAGTCCCAAATGCGTGGCCTGAAGGAGGAATGGAGATACAGGGGAGGCAATGGTGAGGAGGAAGGTCATGGGGCCATAGCGTGTGCAGGTAAGATGAGGTCTTCGGTTTCTACTGAGTGAGCTGGTGGCCCCTGGAGTGTTTTGAGCAGAGGAGGAAGACAGTCTGACTTAACGGGACCACTTGCTGCTGCGTTGAGAACAGATGGCAGGGGCAGGGAGGAGGGGCAGGGGACCAAGGACAGAAATGAGAAGTCCAGTGATCTCAGTGAGATGGTAGTCATGAAAAGTGGTGGAATTAGGGGTGTGCCTTGAAGGTAAAGTGGATAGAAAATGCTTAATGGATCAGAAGAGGGGTGTGAGAGACAGAAATCAAGTATGACTCCAAGTAGTTTGCCTGAGCACATGGAAGAACTGAGCTGCCATTAACGGAAGCAAGGAAGATGGTAAGCAGAGCTAGTTTTGTCAGACTAGAGATCTGGAAGCTCAGTTCTGGACATGTTAAGTTTAGAGATGCCCATTGGAGTCTGAAGTAGAGATGGTGAAAACTGGCGCTTCATGTTCAGTCCCTCCCCTTGTTCTCTTGGGTAGGTAGGGAGACTCTTCAGGTGGCCAGTATTGAGTTCTCTCTATTTTCCAGGAGACAAATGTCTTAGGCTTCAAGGGACCTCGGAAGATGAGCGTGATTGTCCCAGGCATGAACATGGTTCACGAGAGAGTCTCCATCCGCCCCCGCAATGTGAGTCTCTACCCCTCCCTCTCTTCCCCCTTCATCCTAGCCTCTGCATGAGCTTCTAAGGGCAGAACTCTGCTGGTGTACATGTGTAGGGGATACAATGTGAGACGCCCTGGAGGTCTAGGGAAGTCTAAGGACCCCCATTTCTGGGACAGATCCCTCTTTGGGGTGGTCATGGTGTCAAGGCCTGGGCCTGGCTCAGGTGAGGCTGCCCTCCCAGGAGCATGAGACACTGCTAGCACGCTGGCAGAATAAGAACACGGAGAGTATCATCGAGCTGCAAAACAAGACACCTGTATGGAATGATGACACACAGTCCTACGTACTCAACTTTCATGGGCGCGTCACACAGGCCTCCGTGAAGAACTTTCAGATCATCCATGGCAATGACCGTGAGTGTTTCTGTCTCTATTCGTTACTGTTCACATGATACCCAGGGTCCTTAGTTGAAGGTTCAGCTCCAGCCCTGCCCATACTGGCCAGAGTTTAAGAATGTGAACTATACAGCTTAGATTAGATGTAAAGAACTTCCTGACCCCAATGACTGGGAGGTCCTGTAAGAACCTACTTTGGAGCCCTGGCCCTAGATTCTGTGTATTCAGCAGAGTCTCAGGTGTGGGAACACGTTTAAATGGACTTTTCCCCTTCTTCTCTGTTTCCTGGTGTTCGTATGCATCTTACTTTCTCCTTTGCCATCTGCTCTCTCTCTCCTCCCACTTCTCCCAACTGGCCTTTAACTCCTTTGGGATTCCCTTGGCATCTCTGCTTCTTGTTTTTTCTTCCCTCTTGTGGTTTGGGTGTCTGTCCTTTGCTCTCTCCACCATCCCTGCTCTGTCCTGTCCCTCTCTCTCTGTGTCCATGCCTGTGCCTGGCCCCAGCGGACTACATCGTGATGCAGTTTGGCCGGGTAGCAGAGGATGTGTTCACCATGGACTACAACTACCCGCTGTGTGCGCTGCAGGCCTTTGCCATTGCCCTGTCCAGCTTCGACAGCAAGCTGGCCTGCGAGTAGAGGCCTCCTCGTGCCCTTTGGGGTCACCCGGCCTGGAGTGGAGCTTGCCTGCCTACCTGTGGAGACAGCCCTGCCTACCCTTTGTACATAGGCCTTCTGCCAGACTATGCTTTGGCCCTCAGTTGGCTCCCTGGCCCAGCCAGCCAGGAACAGGCTCCTCTGCCTCTGCTGCTGAGGCAGGGGAGTAGCGGGGAGGGGGTGGGTATGAAGGGACCAGAGTAATTCTTTCTGTGCCCCAAAGTCGGCATACACCTCCACTCGTGGGTTAGTACTGTGCTGCAGTCCTGTTTGCCAAGCTAAGCAGCCTCTTCAGCTGGGAAGGCTGGAAGAGGTATAGAGGTAAAGGAAGCACAATGCAGGGCTGCTGTGGCTCAGCCATCCACTCAGCCCAGGAGTCAGATGACGGTTGGTACCCAGCATATAGGGACACAGTGAGTGTGTATGTGTGAAAGGCACACCAACTTTATGTAGCAATGGGCTTGGTGGCCGAGCCTGGCCCTTACAACTGCAGAAAGCCCTCCAACTTCAGAAGGCCTCACCCACCCCAAGATACGTTAGAAGGCTGGTGGGGACAGGTAAGTGGCAGGACCTTGCCAGGACTGCAGGGGCCTCTCTGTGGCTAGCTGGTGGCCTAGGGTTCTAGCCTGTTTGATTTCTTCAGGTTTGCTCTGTACCCACAGAAGCAGCAGAAACCTGATTCCCAAGGCCAATTGTTTTAGTAAAGAGGCCTGCAGGACACAGGCTTGGCATGCAGGAAGTACACGAACAGGCTCCCTGGGTCCCAGGTTGTCCTGGGAGCCCTGCCAGCTGCCACCAGAGCTCTCTGTTGAGCAGCACCAGCACAACCCCCAGGACACATAGATGGGATCCAGGTCACCTGCCTGACTGCACACAGCAAGGCATGTCTGGGGTTCCTGCTGATGGAGCACAGTTTCCAAGCCATGGCATACTCCAGGAAGAATCCCACTGCTGTCAGCCAAGTCGTGGGTGGTAGGGCTTCTGTGTGTGGTACTTGGGAGGGAATTGGGCAGGGTGAGAAGAGCAGGGACTGTTTGAGAGCCACAAGAGATCAGAGGTGGCAGGATCCTTAGGGATCAACTAGTGAACCTTGTTACTTTAGGCGAATCACACTCAGAAAATGGGACATGCCCTGGATCATCTGGCTGGTCAATGGCAGAGTTCGGAACTTCAAGTTCCCTTGATTTTCCTGTTTCCACCGTCCCCCAAGAAACTAGTATCTCTGGCTCTCTGGGGCCTTGTCTACATTCCTTCACTCCTTTTCCTGATTCCAGAGACATAGAAATGTCAGAGTTGATGTATAAGGTGGAAAGCATTTCAGTAGGATATCAGGCAGTTCCCTGTTGAAAGTTGTGTGGCTTTTGTACATCAATCTGATCAGGACTGGCCCTGTGCCTGACTCCCCCCACAAGGGCTGGTCAGCTGTGAGTGGGCCTCAGCAAGGCTGCTGCACGTTTCTTTGTCTAGGTGTGAGAGAACATGAGTGTTCTGGGACTGGGCCTAATCACTCCCTTCACTGCCACTTCTCCTTGGATGGTACCATCTGCCCTGTGGGCTTTGGAACTCTAAGCTCAAGCTCTTGCCCATTTGTCATTTACCCTGGCAGAGGTTTCTTGCCCAGATAGAGACCAGAATCAGTGGGAAGCATGCAGGGGTTGTTCCTTGCTTTAGAGTCGATATGCTTGCAAAGGCTAAGTGGAAATTAATTTTTGAAAAATAAAAGTTGTGCTTTAAACATGTTAGGCTCTAGAGGTGAAGAACTATTTCTTAAGTAGAAGTAGTATGCTCTTATTGCCTGTGTTGAGCACTAAAGCAAGGCATGCCTGTTCCAGCAGGATCTGCCTGCACCTCAGCCATACATCTCTGTAAGGGGGCCCGCCAATGACTAGCTTTCATTAACATGGTCTAGTTTCTAAAGGGCACTAGAACTTTCTGTGCCAGGGCTGGTGATATATACCATGGTGCCATCCTCTTTTCTGTAGTTGCAATTTGGCCCTTCCTTCTCTGACCTTATGGAAAAGAGACCTGCATGGTGACATTTGAGATGGAAACGAGATGATCTCTAATGCCTGGTCAAGCTATTTCTCTGGGTCTACAATTTTAAGGTAGAACGGGCTGATTCTAGATTCTAATGAGAGGGGGACCCTGGTGCAAAGTGGAAAAAAAATCAGAAGCACAATGGAAAACTCTTAGCCTCTGCTTTCTCCTTCAGCACACAGACGAGGGGGTTGGTAGGATATTTTTGTTTTGTTTTTTTGTTTTTTTGAGTTGGAGTCTCACTCCGTCACCCAGATTGGAGTGCAGTTGCCACTCCCGGCCACCGCAGCCTCGACCTGCTGGGCTCCAGCGATCCTTCCGCCTCATCCTTCCAAGTAGCTGGAACTACAGGCGTGCGCTACCACACCCGGCTAATTTTTTTATTTATTGTAGAGATGAGGTCTTACCAAGTTGCCCAAGCGGGTCATGAAGCCGCAGGCTCAGGCAATCCACTCACCTCAGCCTCCCAAGGCGCGGGATTATAGGCTGAGCCACCGAGCCTGACAGCAGGATATTTTTGTAGGGTCAGGAAACATGGGTTTAGCTTTCTAGCCTGGGTGTGGAGAAAGGTAGACTTAGCAACAAAATCCTCTATTGGGCACTGACTGACAAGCAAGAACAGCCAAGTCACCTGCTGATCCTTGACTGCTGGCCCTGTAGCCATGGGCACAAGGACTAATACAGCCAGTAGGGGCCCTGGAGCCCACCTGGGTTCAGCCTCACCCACGGTAAGAGTTATTGTTCTTCATACCCTCTACCCAGATGGTCCTTGATTGGGCAGGGAGTCAATGATAGACTGAGCCGTCCCTAGGCAGCTCCTCTGTAACTGCCTAAGCCGTCCCTAGGCAGCTCCTCTGTAACTGCTCTTGGCTCTGTAACTCCTCCTGGGGCCACACCCCAAAACTCTACACCCTCTGCCCCAAAACAGTTCTGCAGAGTGGTGAAGTTCACGTCCCTAACTTTTCTCCAAGTCTAGCTTTTCTTTCCTTCTGGCTCCAAGGTGCTCTGTGTCTGTGTGTGTGTGTATGTGTGTGTCTCTGTGTCTCTGTATTTGGGGAAAAGGGCAATCAGCAAACAATAAACTGAGGTTTCTTATGATCGTATTTTTTTAAGGATGAGTAGAAAAGGAATAAGGATGTCATGATACCGTGGATTTTGCCCATTCATTTCATGCTCTGAACAGAAAGTATACCTGGGAAATTACCAGCTCTTTCTTCCAGGGTTTGCAATGAGAGGACACTATACAAGAAAGTTGCTAGCTTTTCAATTCCCACTGTGCACTGCCTGAAGAAACTGGTATGTTGCATGTATGCTTTTGGATGAATTTGAACATACTCTAGTGAATGTGCCTTAAAAATCACGACACTAGTTCAGAGGAAGCACAGAAGGTCCAGACTCATGGTGAGGACAGGTGTTGGAAGCTAGGGAATGTGATCAGCACAGACTAAAAGAGAACTTTGGAGACCGCCTCCTTCAGTGACAAGTAGGGCAACAAAACCATAGAAGCCTATTTTTTCTTCATTCTGAAAATATCATGGCATTTACCTCTAAATGAACTTACCATTTATTTAGAGGTAGCTCTAAATTTAACAAGCACAGGGGTGATTTCAAAGAAAAAAAGTCCACACTTTACTCGCAATGGAGTCTGCAGGCAGGGCAATGCTGGGATAGCCATGTCCATGGCTCTATTATGCAAGCACAAATCCCATCTCTCAGATGCACTTCCTGGTTTTCCTTTACTGCAGTACCACTGGCCTTCCCTTCTCTAATTCCTTTTTCCCAGCTGTGATCTCCCTGTGTGACCTCAGGATGGCAGGTGGCCCTCAGAGCACACATTTCCAGACAGCTGAATGAGTCTGCTTTCTTATGCCCAGCACTGTGACTCGCGGCTAACTGCTCTGCAGGCAGGGCCCACAGTTGGGATCCTGCATGGCTCTGGGTCCTAGCTTGTAGGCCTGTAGCAGCCCCCAGGAACAAGCCAAGGAATGGGCTCTTGTTTGGCTTATGGCCACCTGTCCTTATGTACAGTTTGCAATTTTCTGTCATCTCAGGATACAGGGGGAAGAGGCAGAACAGAAGTACTGGGACAGGTCTGGCTTTTAAATTTTCCAACTAAGTGAAGAAGCAAGTTGGTTTTACAGAAAGCACTATTGCATTTAGTAGCTATGTGATTTTGAGCAAACCACGGAATTATTCTAGATCCGTTTTCTTAACTGCAAGATTATGTTGGACTGTCAAAGCTTGCTGTAGGATTCAGGGTGAATGAAAGTTGATCCTTGCTTTCATCACTACCTTTTACAGCTCATCACTGTGCCTTTTTTCTTTCCTAAGAAAGACAACACACCATTCTCCTCTGTGTTCCTGTCCCTCCTTCCCCCCATCAAGATCCAGGCAGAGCTGGAGATGAGGCTAAGATTCAGAGTTTCCTAAAGGGCAACTTAGAATGGCTTGGAAAGGGAAGCCTGAGTCCAACCTCTTTAATCCTACATTTGGTGACAAAGGGGACTTGGTCAGAATGGGTGACATTTCTCTTGCTGGGAACACACATTTAGCCAGTTTTCATAATGCCTAGAATATGTATGTCTATTTGCACAAGACTGTCTTTTCCTATTTTGGAGTGGTCAGACATTTTATTTTTGTTCAAAATTATCTGGAGTTTTAGACAAATTTGCAAAACTGTGCTTTTATTAAGTGACTTTTTGAATAAACTCTTTGGTATTCTGGAGCAAATGTATTTATTTATTGGTATGTGCAATGACAAACTTGGTATTTTCCCATGTTGACATTATATATGTTGTAGAACTTAGTGTTTGTCTAAGTACAAAAATATATCAACAAATTAAACTTGAATTGTTTCAACACTTTTGTGTATTTTTTTCATAAAAGGAGAAAAACGTGTTTCTTTCCGGAAGTTTTTTTTCTACTTCATTCGTTTTCTGAGAGCCCTAGGTAGGTGGCAGTAACAGAGATCATAGCCTATTTAGAACCAATGACATGTAGGGTCAACATTGCCCTCCTTCTGGCTATACCTTTCAAGTTTAAACATCATCAGAACCACACCCAGAGGCTGGCAAGGGCTGGGAAAATGGTGAGATTAGAAGGTACTTAAGTTAGAATAGTCCTCATAAGGGTCTGCGGTGCTACCTGAAGGAGTAGGCCAGTGGTCCTGAAAAAGGTGGAAAAGACCTAACCAGCAGATAAACACAGATACCTAGCCACTTGATTCCTCTGGCCTTGCTCGGAGCCTAACCTATTTAAACAGGACTTAGATGTGCTTGGGAGTCTATTTTTCAACCTGTGGCAGGTGTGAAGCCAAGAGGAAGGGAGGCTGCAGTTGTAGCTAGAGGCAGACATGAAAGCTAGTAGTCTAAACCAGAGGATAGAGGTTACAACCAAAGTCACCCAGAGACCGCAGAATGGCCCTGGGCCATTCCTGGCAGTCATGGTAGTCTTACAGAGTATCAAGAGTGACAGCCCAGCAGCACAGAACTTGATGACAGGGTGGTGATGCTATTGATAATGCTGTCAGCAAGCACCTACCACATGTTTCACCTTGGGACAGAAACTTTAGAAGTAGTGTCTTATTTAATCCTAACAGTCCCATTGGGTGAGTATTATTCCCATTCATAAATGAAGAAATTGGTGCTCTTATATGTTAAGGGATGATCTAAGAAAGAGGAGAAATCTGTCTTATTTTCTTTGTATTAAAAATGGGAAAGGAAAATAAGAAAAGGTAAGTATATTTTAGAAAAGTTAATGGTCAAAATAAAGTCACAGGTGTGTCATTCATGTTTTTTCTCAATAGTGCTGTATTTCTTTGGAATACAAACAGTCTGGATTGAAGGAGACTTTAAGAATGTGGTAATAAATAGGGTTTGTTTATTCCCTGAAACTTAGAGTACTGATGTTGCCAAATTTCCTACCTAAACTATGGCCTATCCCCTGCGGCCTTTGTGGGAAACAGCATATGCAGGATTCTAAAAAGGAAAGAGGGCTTTTGTTTAGTCATCAGGTAGAAGAAAAATCTTAAATGGCCATATTTAGATATTCCAGACCATTTGTCTGGGATAGTCTTGGTTTATGCCTAATCTTGGCATAATATTCATTAATCTTCCTTTTTCCAAAGTGTTCAACATTGGACCATAAGTTACTAGATCACTCAGACTATAGAAAGTGCAGTGAGGGTGATTCTCACAGGCCATTTCTTCTACAGGCCAAGTACATCTGTGCTCCTCAGTGCCCTCCCTGGGCTCAGCCTCTGCTGCTAGTCATGAGGCTAATGAGATGCTTTCTTTCTGCTCCTGTTGTGAAATGAGATATTTCTTTGTGATTCCCAGAAAGGGGATCTCCTGGCTATAGCACCCACCTGATTTACTAAGCATGGTCTCTGTTGATGCAGTTGTTGCCTAGACCAACTGTCCATAGCAATATGACCTGTGTGTTCTGTCACAGTGCCCAAAGGCCAGAGGACTGATCAAGTTTGCAGCCTTCTAGTTCTGAGAAAGGAAGACAATTAGTAAACAGCAGCAACAGGAACAAAGACCAGTCCTGTTGTTTTGGTTACCCTGGGTTATACACATAACTGTCCTCCCTGAAGGATGAAACACTCCTGGAAAATCCAGAAAAACTGTCTACATCCTAAATGGCTGAAAAGTGCATTAAAATTCCTGATATATAAATACACAAATATATTCTTGACATATACACCAACTAAGAGCTAGGGCAGGAAGAGCCATCATAAAGGCTCAGCATTTCTGGCAGGAACTATTTCCATAAACCAATTTTTCCCAAAGATTAACACTTTACATGCCAACCTCATCAAAATAATTGAAGGTCCATATACTTTCACACCTTAATGCTTTTCCAGTACCACTCTTTCTGTCAAGAATGTTCTCTCTCTCCTTTGCCCTCCTGGAGAAGTTCTTAGCATGCCTTTGAGGCCCATCTCCTCTGTGAAGTTTCTTGGAAAGTACTTTGGCAAAAACAGTTTCTCTTTCTTCATGTTCCTGCAGTTTGGGTCCATATCTCAGTGATAGCATAATAAAATAGGTATCACTTAATGAGTGGTTATCTGAGTTAGAACCAATGCTATTTATATGCATTGCTTCATCTAATTCTTAAAGTAACCTCTGATACCTGGATTTTTACTACCCTTCCTATAGAGACAGAGTTGAGGCTCAGATGGGTTAGGAAGCTGACCCAAGATTCTACAGCTAGAATATGCAGGGATAGATCATGACCCAAGTATCTCTGCCTGCAGAGATAACTGCAGAATTCACAATCTTGAGTTCATTGTTCATTTTATCTGTCAGGCTCCTTGTTAACCTGAGTTTTTTCAGAGTAGAAATTGTAGTACTTAGCATTGAGCAGTTGTTTGCTAAATGAATGAATGAATGAACCAGAAGGAAACAGAAGTACCTATCTCTAATAAGGGAATCATATCCTAAGGCAAAAAAAATCTGAACCAGATACCCAGGATTCTTATAAATCAACCCCTCCGAGTGAATGAAGGGAAATAATGGAAAACAATTTATCAAAACAGTAGACAGCACCTATATTATTTTTTTTACCTTTAGAGTATAATACATCTGAATTGGATTCAATACATTTTAAACTGCCTTTTTTACAATGTCAATCAAATGTCCTACACAGAGATAGATGCAATATACTTTCTACAGACTCAATCTTAAATGACTTGTCTCTGTTGTCAATTACCTAACAAGAAGAAATGCCTAGTAGTAGCTGACAAATTATCATATGGTCCCATACCTTGTGACAGCAGTCTGCATGCTTGTATGTGTGATTTCAACTATTTTCCTGGCACTTTATGCATGCCATGCATAATGGAACTCTAAAAGCCATATCTACCTTTACATAATTTCTTAATTTTCCAGTCTTCCATATTTCATGACTGGGAATGTCCTCAGGAATATGCCCTCTTCAAACTCTCAGGTCTTACATGTAAACTTAATTCACATATCCTTCATCTTAGAATTCAAGTGTACCTTCTTGTCTCACGAAGACACATGACAGATGGTAACTTAGGAGAATAAGCCTTTAATTTGGTTAAAATCCTCCAAGTCCTAATCTAGTGGCTACTTTCTCCAGCCCTGTCCAAAGTCCCAAATATCCGAATGTAGAACATATGGTTTCTTCCCATGGGCACTGCTATATTGGTTTGTGCAAAAGACACACTCTGTAACTTTCCTGTTGAGCTGGCACTTTGTATACAAGCTAAATCCTCATTTCTGTTTTAACTCATGTGGTCTGAGAACAAATTTCCTAGAGGGCGCAATATTCAGAAACAGCTTCAGGCAAAGACTGCCATCAATACACAGGTCCTCTCCCCTACTGCTAGCTCCCTGGCCTTCTCAGCTCCTCATGGCAGGACCACCCCCAGGCAGCCATTCTGCAGCCTCAACAGTCTCAAATCTTGGCTCTGCAGGGCAGGGACTAAAGTCTTCATCTAGAGCTTCCACTGGCCACTGAAGACCAGAGGTGCAAAGGTACTTCTGGGTTTGGCAGTAAGCAGAACAGGGATACAGGAAGCTAGAGACCAAGGCAATATCAGAGCAAAACAGTCCCCAAACAGGCCTGTAGGCTCATCCTCAGGTCAGTGGGAGTCTTCACTACTCTGGAGAAAAGAGGATGTGTAAGAGACAGCATCAGTGCTCCTAGAAAGAGGATTCAGCTCAGGCAGCTCAGCAGTCTTACCCTGCTCTGAGACGATCATCCCCACAAAATGTTCTCTTCTCTCCAGAGGACCACTAACCTGCACAGGTCCAAAGAAGAAGGCATCTTGAAGTCTGAAATCTTCATTCTTGCAAACTTAGTCCTCATCATCTGTAAGCTGATGTTCATTCACAGGTGAACTGTTATGCCTACCAGGAAGAGTCAGACCTTTGCCCCGAGTGGTCCCATCTGTAATTATGATAGATCAAAATAATCACTTAATGGATCAACTTCTCTGATGGGGAAAGGCAGGAAGAGAAAGAGTGAAGTTGTCTTATGTTCACACTACTGTCCATGTTTTACAAGGTGAAATGTGTGTGAGCACCAGGAAGGATACATGATCTCCATGGTAGTAGCCTGATAGCTATGAAATTTGAACACAGAGAAGGAAATACAGGGCACAGGGCCAAGGAGGAAATCTGAGGAGAGAAAGGTCACCTTGGGACTAGAGTAACGGATACTTCACCAAACTGGCTGTTTTCACTCTAAACCCTGGGGGTTACGCTTCCTCAAAATGCTGCCTGTATACGCTTTATCAGCACTAATACCCGACCCTTCAGCTCTCAAGTCTCGGGGCCACTCTTCTTTGGTGGTTTCCTCTTGCTCGCAGTAGCTGTCTGCATGGAATCCAGTATTCTCTGCCAAGACAGCAGGATCGTCTTCTTCATGAAAACAGCAGGAACATGTTTCTGGCTTTGGATCACATAAGGTAGCAGAATTGTCTTCCTGGGTTCTGGGATCAGTGGGCAGACTTTCCCAACCCAAATGGTCTGATTCTTCCTCTTCTATCACTCCCATTCTTTCAGCTATTTCTTCAGCAGAAGGCTCTTTTGAGTCAGGGTAATCCACCAGGATTGTTTCTTGCCTATGCTTGGCACAGTCTGAAAGGTCATAAATTGGATAAGTCTCTTCAGGGTAACCTAGAGAGAAAAGTAGCACAAAGCCTTACAAATAATATCTCTTCAGAAAAATAAAGTGTTAGGCTCAAAGAGGATTTTCAGGCAGCAGTCATCCTATCCAAACAAATCCATTCAAGAAATCATGATTCCAACAGTTCTAAAGTTTCACTTGAGCCAATTCTTAGCAATCTTACTATCCCCAATGTTCTTTGAAATACAAACCAATTCAGATGAAAATCCCTTCTTAAGTGTAGGGTGCTTGGGGGTAGAGTTAAGTCTCATACCACGTGTTTTTGCAGTACTGATTAAGATTAAACAAACAGCATGAGCCTTCAGTTAAAAAAAGAATGCACTAAATACCAGATGGAGAAAACACAGCTCAAGGCTAATGTTTATAATTTCTATTTGGAACCATTTCCAAATCTTCTTTGGGGGTGGGGGGCAGGAAAGGAATGCTAAAGCTCTTTGAAAAATACTTCATGAAGCTTTCTATTTATCAAACAACTGAAATGCCTTGCAAGTGTCAGAAAGAGAGAGCACTTTAGCAAGACATGCTCAAGATCCCACAGGACAAGCATTGCATTTTCAGAAGACAGAATTCCCATTGTTGGCTGCTTCTTCTTCACAACATGGAACAAAAGAAAACAACAAACTGGTAAACAAAATGAGTAACACTGGTACTGAATCCCAGCTAGGATAATGAGAAAAGAGAAAATGGTGCCAAATTAAGGAACGAAATGAAATAAATCTGTGTCAGCCAAGCAAGCATGAGCAGCAGATGGGCCGTGCTGGAGCTCACATGCCAGTGCTGGCACAGGCGGCGGTGCTCGCAACACAATGCAGAAAGCTTGAAGATTCGGAACCCATTTACTTTATGATAATTGGCAAATTCAACCTTAACGTAACCACTTTTTGCCTACAAATTGTGACAAACAGCAGTCTTTTTTGGTGTAGTATAGGGTATGCAGAGACATTTCTACAACATTTACTGTTTTTTTTTTCTGACTATAAAAGTCATATAGACTCATTTGTCCAAAATTTGGGAAAATATAGACTAGTTTAAAAAAGAAAATATGTATCACCCAGAATCCTACCACTAATGATAATTTGCTGTATTTACTTCTGCCCTTTTTGCCATATATAAACATATATTTTTTTCCCTTTTTTAAAACAAAGGATTGTATTTGTTTATAAAATGTACCCTGATTTTTTTCATTCAACATTATATCATGAGATTTCTCCATATCATTAGGCATTTTAAAGTTGGTCACAAATATCTCATCATATAGCTATATAATTGACATGATCTACCATTTCTCTTCTGTAAGACATTAAGATTCTTTCCAATTTTCCCCTATTATATGTAATATAGTAGTTAAGATCTCCGAATATAAATCCAAGTCCACTTCCCTAATTCTTCAGGATAGACTTCTTTAAGATGAAAACTAGACCAAAGGGAATGGACAATTTTAAAGCCGTTTTTGTACTCTGTCAACCAACTGTACACAAGAGTGGCATATATTTTCAGTCCCACCAGTGATGTAAAAATTGTCCATTTTATCACACCCTCATCAGCACTCACAGTAGTATACTAAGAATCTCGCCAATGCAGTCTATATTCTGAGGCTTAACTTACTATGGACAGAATGCTACCCAAGGCCCTCATAGTCTTCTTGGTCAAGAACAGGGGCTGAGAAAGTTTCTTGCTAGTTAGCTCCCAGCCACTGAATGCTTAAGAGAAGTCCATTTGTTGGCATGTCCCTAGCTTCTCTCCATACCAAGAACAAAGTTTAACTTTGGATTTTCATGACAATTTGCTTTGGTTTTAGAGGGAACACCAAGCAGACTCAGGCTCCAGGCCCACCTTAGCACAAGGCCCCAGGTCAGCCCCACAGCCCTAGACATTATGTTTGCACCCACAAACTCAGCCTCCACGATGTCCCCTGCAGATACATACTCTAGGCCCACCTAGCACAGGCTAGCAACTATGGCCCCAGGCTCCAAGTCCACCCCAGGTTCCAGACCAACCCAGAGCCAAGTCAGCTCACATAGCCCCAGGCTTTAAGTCCACCCCAGTACCAAGTTGGTATCCCTGACTTTAGGTACCAGTCCAGTAGTCATGGACACAAGCTCCATGCCTGCCCAGTGCCAGGCTCATTCCTGTGGCCCCACCTTTTAGGCTGGTCCCTGCATCCCCAAAATCCAGCAGACCCTCGGTTCAGGCCATCCCAGTAGACCCCAGAATTGGGCTGGCCCCAAGATCCCAGCTTTCAGCACTGTCTCTATGGACCTAGGTTTCAGGCTGGGTCCCATAGCCTCAAGAACCCAGACTAGCCCTCATGGACCTAGCCTCCAAGCCTACCTATACAGAGTTAGGCTTCAGACCTATTCTGGCCCTTGTGGACTCAGCCTCTAGGCCCATCCCAATGAATCCAGGCACCAGGACCATCCAAGTGTCTGGCCAACCTCCAAGCAGGCTCAAGGCCCACTCCAGCCCCAGGTAAGTACTTGTGGACCTAGGCTTCAGGTCAGCCTCTCCATACCTGATACAGAATCCAGGCCCACCCTCACAGACCCAGGCTCCAGGTCCACACCTAAGGACCCAATCAAGAGGTCCATCCCAGTGGATCCAGGCTTCAGGCCCAACACTGTAACTCTGCACCAGGCCAGCCTGCCTAAGAATTCCAGCAGCAAGCCTACCTGTGGGCCATACCAAATAGTCTGCTTGGAATCTCTGGATGGTCTGATTGGTGAATGGTTTTCCCAAATAAAGCCAGTCTGCAAAGACTGGAATGAATCCCTGCTTCTTCAAATGTGCAGATACCAATGCACAGATATGAGACTTAAGAACAATCAGGGAAACATGTTGCCAACAATGAACAAAATAAAACACCTAAAGAAATGGAGATATATGAACTGCCTCACAAAAAATTTAAGACACTTGTTTTAAGGAAGCTCAACAAACATCAATACAGATAAACAATTCAATGAAAATACAAAACAATAAACAACCAAAACACTTAACAGATTGAAATTATTAAAAAACCAAATAGAAATTCTAGAGCTGAAAAATATAATGAATGAAATGAAAAATGCAACAGAGAGAACCAATAGCAGAACTCATCAAGCCAAAGAATGAACCAGTGAAGTTGAAGATATTATTTGAAAATACAGTCAGCTGAGAAAAAAGAATAAAAATAAAGAAAGCTTATGGAATTTATGGAACAGCATCAGAAGGACAAATTTTTGAGATATAAGAGTTCAAGGAAAAGAGACAAAGGGGTAGAAAGTTCAGAGAAATAATAGCATAAAACTTTCCAAATCTGGGGAAAGTTATAAATGATGTAGGAAGATCAAAAGTCTCCCATTAGAGTTAACCCAAATAAGACTACATGAAGATAGATTATGATCAAATTGCCAAAAATCAAAGGCAAAGAGAGGATTCTGGAAGCGGCAAAAAAAAAAAAAAAAGCAAATCACATATAAGGGAGCTGCAATTAGGCTAGCAGTGGATTTATTAGCAGAAATCAAAAGTCAGAAGAGAGTGGGATAATATGTTCAAAGTGCTTACAGAAAAGAAACTGTCAATCAAGAGTACTGTTCTTGGCAAAGCTGTCATTCAGAAATGAAGGAAAGATGAAGACTTTCCCAGCAAACGAAAGTTGAGGGAGTTAATCACTACAAGATCTATTTTACAAGAAATGCTCAAGGGTGTTCTTCAAGCTAAAAGAAAAGGACACTAATTAGTAACAAATATAAAAATATAAAATTCCTAGGTAAAATTAAGTATAAGTATACAAATTCAGAATACTCTAATACTGTAATGGTGACATGTAAATCACTTATATCTTTAATATGAAGGTTAAAAGACAGAACTATTAAAAATAACAGCTACTATATTTTTAAGGGATATGCAATATAAAAAGATATAAATTGTGGCATCAAAAACAAAATGTGGGGAGGGTAGATAAAGTAAAAGTGTAGTATTACTTTATGTGTTCCAAGTTAAGTTTTCATCAGCTTAAAACAGCCTGTTGTAAAATGTTTTATGTAAGCCTCGTGGTAACCATAAAGCAAAAACATATAGTGGATTACAAATGCCAAAAGTAAGAAATCAAATCATATCACTAGAAAAAACAATCTCATCATAAAGGAAGACACAAGAGGAAGAAAGGAACAAAGGATCTATAAAAGAACCAGAAGCAATTAACAATGGCAGTACTGGATCCTTGACTATCAATAATTACTTTGAATGTAAATTATTTAAATTCTCCAATTAAAAGACATAAAGTGGCTGAATAGGTTTTTTTTTTTTTTAAACCCAACTATATGCTGCCTACAAGATACTCATTTCACTTTTAAAAACACACACAGATTAAAAATGAAAGGACGACCAGGTGTAGTGGCTCATGCCTGTAATCCCAGCACTTTGGGGCAGTGGAAGTGAGAGGATTGCCTGAGTCCAGGGGTTCAAGACCAGCCTAGGCAACTTGATGAGACTTCGTCTCTACAGTAATTTTTTTAAAGTGAAAGAATGGGAAATATATTATATGAAAATGTAAACCAAAAGAAAGCAAAGATAGCTATACTCAAAATTTAAGTCGTAAACAAAAATGAGACAAAAGTCATTTTATAATGATAAGGAATTAATTCATTAAGACATGACAATTGTAAATATATATGCATCCAACATCAAAGCACCTAAATATATAAAGCAAATACTAATAGATCTGAAGAGAAAGAATAGACTGCAATACAATAATAGTAGGGGATCTGAATACCCTACCTTCAGTCATGGACATTTCATTCAGCAGAAAATCAATAAAGAAACACTGGACTTGAATTGCACTTTAGATCAAATGAACCTAGCAAACATATATAGAATATTCCATCCAGGGCTAGGCACAGTGGCTCATGCCTGTGATCCTAACACTTTGGGAGGCTGAAGTGAGAAGACTGCCTGAGCTCAGGAGTTCAAGACCAGCCTGGGCAACATAGTGAAAACCTCATCTCTACAAAAAAA